TTGGTCCAGACGGGCGTCACTCGGGGAGCTTTGCCCGTCAGACGGCCTTCCAGAGCGTCGCTCATCAGCTGGAACCAGGGCCACGAGGCCGGGTTGGTCTGACCCTCCATCCCCCGAGGAGGAAACTTCAGGTCCTGCAGACGCAGCAAACTCACGTTTCAGTGAACGCTCGAGGCGAGCAGCAGCTCTCTGCGGCGCTCGGCCGATTACCATCAGAGAGCTGCAGGACACTCAGGCGTCTAACTTTATTTAAACAGGTCCGACTGGACAAAGCAGGTTATAGGTCACATGCAGGGCACGTTACTGCGAGTCACCTGAGACTCATCGAACACACCGACCAGATTCAGCTACTTTAACAAACACCTGGAGGTCAGTTTAAAACACACCCCCCTCCGCCTGCACGACTAACGTATCGACGGCGCCTCAGTCTCGAGGGATCCACTCACAGACTTGCAGGACTGACACTACAGGTGTAACTATCTCAGGAATGTTGTCACTGCCGATCAGGAAAAGCTGGATTTGTTGCACGTGTGGAAAAACAGCTCAGATTAAAAGGAATGTAAACTAGCAGAACATCGACAGCAGCGCTGCGAGGAAACTGATTTCCTGGTTTTAATGCCTGAAGCTCGTAAGCGTCTCACACATTCACAGTGGAGACGTTTATCCGGCCCACAGTGCAACAGGACGGCGTGCCGACGACGAGTCTCTGTGAAAACCTGACACGTCTGTGCACCTCCTCTAAATACAGGCAGATTAGTTATGGAGGACAACAGCGCCTCAGCTGAGGGCTAAAAAGGATGCGGCGGTAACACGGGGTCACATGACCTGAGGCTGCTCAAACTGCTGCAGGGATCTCACCTTGAATTTGGTCTTCAGGTTGTCCCACTTCTTGGCAACCTGGTCAGGTGTTATCTTCCCTGTCAGCCCCATCTCCTTCACTATCCCCCTGCACACACACGCACACACACACGCACACACAGTTTAACAGGACCCCGACACACGCAGAAACGAGCGCGGTGTGTTCAGCAGACGCTCGAACGCTCGCTCACCTCCACGCCGGTTTGGCGGTGTTCCTCCTGCCGGTGAACAGAGACTCGTTAGCAGCTCGCAGCTCGATCAGCCGCCTCGTGTCGTCTTCGCTCACTGTGAAAAGAGGCGAATGCAAACGTTACTCTGAGGCGTTTCCTGCACGGCGTGCATGAATACGATCGGGTGACGTCGTTCGTTGAAGCTCCGAGCACAAAGAACTTTTAGACGAACCCTCGAACCAATCACATGACCTCCTGGGCAGCTGATTGGCTGTGCTTTAACTTTCACTTGCACATGTTCCCTTCCTCCCTGACGCCTACATTACCCACAATCCACCCCGGCCGCTGCACAGGACTAAGCCGTCCCCTCCGTCTCACTCTGCTGTCTGAGCTTACGTTTGTAGGTGAACTCGCCCATCCGGTGCAGCTCGCCCAGAGCCGCCGAGCCGTTCTTGTCCTCGTTATCGACCAGCAGGTCCATCTCAGACTCCGTCAGGAACTCGGCCATCCCGCCTCGGCTCCGGCGGGCTCGCTTCTTGGGTGTCGGGGACAG